ACACATACAGGTGAATGCTGAGGCTTCTGCATTCATTCTTACTGTAGCTGGCCGTTAAAAAACCGTGGCCGTTAGCACCCAGACGGGTGTTTAAAATAAATAAATAAATAAATAATAATAATAAGAATAAGAACAAAAAACAAAAAGAAAAAAGAAACCGTGGCGGTTAGGTTAAAAACGAACATTAGGTGCGCATACAGGTGAACGTTGGAGTGCATCCGGCATGCGGTAGAATTTCGTGGACCAGTACAGTAACTCAAAAAACTTTAGAACAAGTTGAATGCACTTTTCAATGATTTTTGTTTTCTTTAGGGAAGAGGAGGGGGGGGGGGGGAGAGAGAGAGGGGGGGGGTTATCCGGCTGGAGCGGGTTGTTGGGGGGCGGAGGGGGGGGGGGGGGGGGGGGGGGGGGGGGGGGGGGGGGGTAAAGGTTGGGGGAGAACAAGGTTGGATGGACGAGTGTGAGGTGGGAAGAGGGACAAAAGTCACAAATTGCAAACGAGAGAAAAGACACTTGCACTCCTAACACTGAGTTGCTCAGCAGTCTGAGCAGTGAGGGGAACCTTCTGCTCTCTTGCTGCATCCCAGTGGGGTACTCGTCCATCGACGATCATGACACACACAGAGCGCTGTGTGTTACGTTTTTCTGATAATAAAGCCATAATCAGAGGGACCACGCAGTGCTAAATCCACACTTGCAACACCCTATGGTAAATCCACAATAATTTAACACATGGCACTAAATCCACAATGTAAGACACACACATCGCTCCATGTCATCCTTCCGGGATGACATGGAGCACTCTCTGCTACATTGACGATGACAGAGCGCTGTGTGCTGCGTTCGATGATGATGATCATCATGAATCGATGATCGAGCGGTGTGTGTGTTATATGTACATATTCCGTTTCACCTTTTAAGTTTTTGTCCGGAAGTGAGACAAATTTCTTCTTCTTCCTCTTCTTCTTCCTCTTCTTCTTCTTCTTCTTCTTCTTCTTCTTCTTCTTCTTCTTCTTCTTCTGCTCCTCCTTCTCCTCCTCTTCCTCTTCCTCCTCGAGGCAGCGTGAATTTGAGAGGTTTCTTTCAAGAAATCATAGAATTACTATATATATGTCGTCAAACAGAACTTCTCTGTAAGACGTAGGCAGAGAGGAACCGTTATGTTATTTATATATATCATCAAACAGAGCTTCCCGGTAAAACGTAGGCAGAGAGGGAGACGAGGACAACAAACGGCCGGATGTAAACTGTTTCGTCGGAGATTCAGCGACTCGTCGGGAGGCTGAACCCTCTACAGTCTGCAGAGTCCCCAAACTGATCACACCGTAGGTGATGATGATCCACCTTAACCCCGGTTGTGGCTAAGCATGAACGACTGACTGTTCAACAACCGATAGCTTGAGGTGGGCACCAACCACTGCTATCAAGGTACCTGTGACGGAAATCAAAGCAGATTATCACTCACCCGCCCAATAACTGATACTTGAGGTGGGCACCAACCACTGCTCTCAAGGTACCTGTGACGAAAATCAGAGCAGACTATCACTCACCCACACCAGATGGAAAACTCTGCAGACTGCAGGTTCACGCCCCATCACAAGTCGGCAAAACACCCATGAAACAAAGAAAGGTCTGTCACAGCCAGAAAATACACTCCACACATGCCACTTGCACTAGAGGCACAACATGGCAGCGTAGTGACGGCCCCGACCACAGTCGCTCAACCTGACCGGAGAAACCGTACCAGG